CAGGACTTGTTCAGAATAGAGTTTATACTTATTTTATCAAAATAAGCCTTTGATTTGCCTTCCCTATAACTGCAGATGATTCAAATGCCATTTGTAACAATGTTATCTATTAGTTCTCAATATGATTCATGTGCTCTTTAATATTTAGAATTAAAATTGGGAATGAATGTGTTTTTGCTGAATTCCTTGAAGTTCAGACATAGTCTAGATATGTGACTGCTGTCTTTGCAGAATGAGTCTTTATGACAAGTCCCTGGAAGCCCCCACTGAAACCTCTGCTGCCTCTCCTCTTCCCCAGAGTATGCCAGTACTTTGCAGTTGTAATACGATTCTTTTTAAGTAGAGGACTTAATAGAGACATAAACAGTTATATTATTATCTTTACACATCCCTTTTTTGCTTTCTCTGTAGTAGTGGGACTGTACATGCAGGGAACTACTTCATTTTCAAGGTAAATAAAAGCTTCAGCTCTGGCTATGACAAAGAGCTACAGTATCTGCAGCTGACTGAGGAAAACTTGCTTGAAAAATAAAGCTACTCAGACAAGACAAGTGAAATGGGGAAGCTGTCATTTTAACCGTAATGTTTAATCCTTAACCTGTTGGGTTACTGGATTCATCAACCGCCTTCTCCAGACAAGTGACAAGCGTGTAGAAGATCGACCCAGACTGGCTTTACTCGCCTCTAATTGTATGTAGTTCAACCTGAACTACAGGTGCAAATATAAGAAATGCAAATATATTTACTTTTCAGAAGTGGTACAGCTTTATTCTTCCTTCAAGAGACTCATCTTCCTGAAATTGGTATTTGCATGTTTTGCATTCCTTGATAGCAGATACTAGTCACATTTACCAGTCTGAGCAATACCTTTTTAGAAGCTGCTGAATGCACTCTCAGGATTCCCTCTAATGAGAAGACAGAAGCATTGAGCATTCTGCTCATGCTGAATGACTGTTCTGCAGCAGCTATTCACGTGTGATTGCCATTTCCTGTTACTGAAGACCTATTGGAGCCAGCTAGCCTATTTTGGATAGTTCTTTGTCCTGCCATCTTGTTACCAACATAGCAGGTAGAAAACTCTCTGATCTCTTGAACAAGGACTTCCTATTGGTTTATCCTATCCTTTAATCTGTGGCATGGTTGCCAGAAGGCTAGTTCTGTAAATTCAGTGTTAAGACTGTAAATATTGAAATTGTCTGAAATCAAGTTAGTTTCTCTGCCTCACCTCAGTTTCAGTTGCAAAATTACAGATTCCATTGACACTCCCAAGTTCAAATTCCTAAAAAAAATGTTTTTGCTTTATGACCTTTTCACTGACTCTAGAAAGATCCTCCTGTCAGCCTTTGTTAAGGCCCAAGTTGTCTTCAGAGTGTCCTTTTAAAGTTTTTTTTTAGCACTGAAGGTGTCATGTCTCAGTCTTGTGGAATCCCTCTTCTAGGGATAGGACAGTCACTCCTCAGGAATGTAGTCTTATCTAGATACATGTAGATTTTTATTTGATAATGCCTTTGTGTTATAATCCATAATGGTTCTGCTTTCCTCAAAGACAGTGCAGTTACTCTGCCATCTTTGGCATCTTCCCATATACTATAAAGGCAAAATCTCTCATTCTACAGCTTATAGTATCAAAGGACTCAGTTGAACCCTGTGCTATAATAACTTCTGCCAGCAAAGCATTTTAAGTTGCCTAAAAAGAACTAATTACTGTAGAAGACAGACAGGCCCACAAAACAGTAAGACCCGCTGATGCTTAGGACTTCCTCACATTTTGCTTTCCTTTACTCAGTTTCACCCATGCTGTTCACATCCAGACTGGTGTATGTTCTGTATATGAGTATCAGATAACTAGGACATGAGTGTTGCACAGAATTGACAGCGGATATAGGTGGCCTTGTTGCAAACTCTAACCCATAACCTTTTCCAGAGAATCTTACCCTGAGATTTTGGGTTGCCTGAAGATAAACAATGTATCATAGAATCATCATAAAATGCTTAAGGTCAGAAGGGACCTCTAGTAGTCCAACCCCCCTGCACATGCAGGGTCACCTAGAGCACATGGCACAGGAATGCATCCAGGTGGGTTTTGAAGATCTCCAGAGAAGGAGACTCCACAACCTCTCTTGGCAACCTGTCCCAGTGCTCTGTCACTCTCACTGTTAAGAATTTTTTCCTTAAGTTCCTGTGGAACTTTTGATGCTTCAGTTTCTGGCTGTTTCCTCTAGTTCTGTCCGTTACCACCAGTGAAAAGAGGCCAGCACCATCCTCCTCACTCCCTCCCTTGAGGTACTTATAGACACTGATCAGATCCCCTCTCAGCCTTCTCTTCTCCAGGCTGAACAGGCCCAGCTCCCTCAGCCTCTCCTCACAGGGCAGATGTTCCAGGCCCCTGATCATCCTTGTGGCCCTGCACTGGACTCTCTCCAGCAGCTCCACATCCCTCTTGTACTGTGGAGCCCAGAACTGGACACAATACTCCCGATGTGGCCTCACCAGGGCAGGATCACCTCCCTTGACCTGCTGGAGACTCTCTTCTTAATTCACCCCAGGATCCCATTGGCCTTTTTGGTCACAAGGGCACACTACTGCCTCATGGTCAACCTGTTGTCCACCATGATGCCCAGGTCTTTCTCTGCAGAGCTGCTCTTCAGTAGGTCGTTTCCCAGCCTGTACTGGTGTCTGGGGTTATTCCTTCCCAGGTGCAGGACCTTGCACTTGGTCTTGTTGAATTTCATGAGATTTTTCACTGCCGAGTTATCCAGTCTGTCCAGGTCCCTCTGGATGGCAGCGCAGCCCTCTGGGGTATCAGCTACTCCTCCCAGTTTGGTATCATGAGCAAACTTGCTGAGGGAGCACCCTGTGCCTTTGTCCAGGTCATTGATGAATAAATTGAACAGGACTGGACCAAGGACTGATCACTGGGGGACCCCGCTAGCTACAGGCCTCCAACTAGACTCTGCACCACTGATCACCACCCTCTGAGCTTTGCCATCCAGACAGTTCCTAATTCACCTCACTGTGCACTCATCTATCCCACACTTCCAGAGCTTGTCCAGGAGGATATTGTGAGGGACGGTGTCAAAAGCCTTGATGAAGTCAAGATAGTTGACATCCACCACTCTCCCCTCATCTATCCAGCTGGTCATTCCATCATAGAAGGCTATCAGTTTAGTCAAGCATGATTTCCCCTTGGAGAATCCATGCTTACTACTCTTGTGCACCTTCTTGTCCTCCATGTGCCTGGAGACAACGCCCAGTATGAGCCGTTCCATCACTTTTCCGGGGACGGAGGTGAGGCTCACTGGCCAGTAGTTGCCTGGGTCTTCCTTCTTGCCTTTTTTGAAGACTGGCATGACATTGGCTTTCTTCCTGTCCTCCGGCACCTCCCCCGTTCTCCAGAATGTTCAAAGATGATGGAGAGCGGCTTAGCTGTGACATCCACCAGCTCACACAGAACTCTGGGGTGCATCCCATCAGGGCCCATGTACTGTCACTTCAGTGCTACAGAATTAATTCCACTGGATCTCAGCACCAGAGATTCCCTAAATTTAAAGATTAGTAGTGTGCTCCATTTTGGGTTTAATCAGATAGAACTCCTACATCCTCATGTTCAAGATAATATTAGTCAATATTTGCCTGTCACTTGGAAGGATTGGCTCTGTAATGATTAATCTGAAAGCGACGTATTTTCATACAGTGACAAGAACAACTTGACTTTTTTTGTATTTTCTCACATGACATCTTTGCTAGTAAAAGGTCTTTCTATTTGGCAGAACTCTTGATGCTGAAGTCTTTGTCAGGGTTATTACATCATTATTATGTAATTATTATTACTATTATTACATTTAAGGATGTTAATATGGCTTGATATATTACATGGAGGAGACTCACAATTTTTGTGTGTATATATATATTAAATCCTCACTTAAATTTGATCTCCAGATCTTGTTAGCACTAGATACCAGCTATGTTACTAGAAAAAAAAATTACTATTTCATAAAGACAAAAAATTAACAGCTATTAACTGTTACTACTATCTTGCTGAACTTACTGAAGTGCAGGACTGTAAGCAATTTCAAAAGTAGGCTATAGAGGATTCAAGAGAATTCTAAGTGAATATAAGAGCAACAATAAATTCTTACATTGATGTTTTGTCATAACAGAAGTTATATGCCCTCTAAGTCTCTTAGAATAACCTAAAAAGTATAATCAAGTTGAAAATGCAATATTTTAATGCCTTTTTGGAAAGTAATTTTATTCAGATAATTATTTTCAAGAAAGAGTCAAAAGTAAGTAACTTATTTAAAATATTAAGTAAGTTCATAAGCATTTCAGAATAAATGGCATTACAGAATAATCCTGGCTTATAATTTAAAATTTACTTTTGGCATTTTGTTCAATGAAAATTTGAAATAGAAAGGTTTTCACAAAGCTAAGTCGTAGAATTGCCTCTAAATATCATTGGGAGGGTTGTAAGTAGTTAGCTCATTTCAATTTTTTTGTGCTATTTCCTTTGAAATTACATAGGTTTAAACTATTTTTTTTTCAATAACTAAAAGCAATATATAACTCATTTACAAGACAAATGAAAGAAAAGTGTATTGCATGCTATCACTTTTGTATTGTTACTTGAGAACTTTGTGTTAGTCTTTCTAAGCTGTAACTTTCATAAGTTTCAGTTAAGTTTCATAAGGTATTGAGGTGATATACTAGCATTTTTTTTTTCTTGTAGGGGAATTCCTGGAAAGAAATGTGGAATAGTTATAGTAACAGCAGAGGAGCTGAGCTGTTGCCGCGTAAGTATGTGTTCACTCCCTTTGGAAAAATAAAATTATTCTGACCACCTTGCTAGCAGTACAGTGTATAAATTGCCATTTTATGATATCTGTAATGGTTTACATTTACCCCATGGTAAATGGTACCATAGTACTGATGTTGGATAAACATCAAAGTAAAATTTCATCTTTTTAGCCTTATTAAGGGTTATGCTTGCTATGAATCATATTTCTTAGATATAGGAAATTATAGTTTATTGGAAAATGGTGTTAAGATATTGAAATAAAATAAAAGTTTCTTTAAATGAAATGATGATTACCTCAGGCTATTAGTGGCAGGTGCCTACAAATTTAATAGCGAACAAATGGGAGAAACCAGAGAATTTGACTGGTTAAGGGAAGAAGCAAGGTGTGGAAATGACCTTCCCCAGGTGAGTCAGCAATTTTCCACCTCCCAGGCCTCCTAGAGGACTGGGTTGGATAAAGAAGAAGAGGGAGAGTTTACTGCTTAAGAAAGCATGTGTGAGAGTGCTAGGCTACCTCTGTTGTTTACCAGCATCAAAGGAGCTAGCAGAAAGCCATAAATTATAGGGAAATAGAGCATGGAAATGAAAAGGAGGAAGGATCATAGATATGGTTGATAAATAATGGTTGACTGTGAAGGGCAGTTTTGAGGGTCAGAGTGTAATATATATTGGATGAAGCTGTAAGATGCATCTTAGAAGAATTTGCAGTAACAAGATAGAAAATTTTAAATTAATGAAGAATATTAGACATTTGGTGTGAATATACAGATGAATTGGAGAATTTAAGATCAACTGCATAAACTTGCAAAAATATCTTCAGGCTTGGAGGGATTTGTCTGTGGGACTTAATTTATGAAATGTTGTGAAAGTACACAGGTAATGCCTTACATCTTATAGAACTTCTGACATTTTTATAGACTGTTATTTCTTTTCTCTTTATGTAATAGATTTTTTTTAACTAACATAGTTGTTATTTAGTCATTCCCAAAGAGATATCAGCAAATACAAAGTTACCAAATCGGATCATACAAAAGCTGGCACTGAGCTTTATTATACAGACATATTAATAGCAGGAGATTTCCTCTGTTATTACTACAAATGAAAAGTATGATCATGACGAATGTCAGTCTTTCTCCTTTGTTTTATATGGACTCAGTGTTTTGGAAGCAGGAACTGACCCAACTGTTCCTGCTTTGTCAGAAGACAAAGTGGAGTCCTACTTAATCATGCTTAAGGCAAGTTTGCCATCACTCTGAGCATTTATTGACTCTATTGGAGTTTCTCTGTCAAGGCTGTCATTGCTATTTCAGCTGTAACACACTACTTAAAAGTGACAAAGGGATTTAATGTTCTTCCAGACACACCCCAGTCAAAATTCACTTATATGATCCCTTTGATTCAAAATCAATGATGGTAGCTTATGAAATATTTGGCATTCAATCTCTGTCTCTTGCGTTCTCTCTTCTCCTCTCTTGCAGTCTCTGTCATGTTCCTCTGCAGGTAGTCTTGGCATTGTCTTGCACTCTATCACCTGCTATAGCTTTTTTTTTTTTTTTTTTGGTTATTATCTTACCTAAAGATGCTGAGTCCATCACATTGACAACTTAATCTACTTTGTATATCGTCATCTTGTTTATGAGGATGTTATGTGTGACAGTGTGAAAAGCCTGGCTGAAGGAAGGATAAACAAAATCCAACTGTTCTCACCTCATCTGCCAAGCCAGTCATCTCATCATTGAAGGCTATCAGGTTGTTCAGGCATGATTTCCCCTTCATAAATCCATGCTGATAACTCTCACTTTTATTTAATCCTAGAAACTATTTCCAAACATATTATTTGTAACAGCTTTCATGGGATTGAAGAGAGGCTGACATTTCTCCTCCTCCTTACTCTTTTTCAGAGATAGGAGTGACATTTTCTTTCTTGTAGGCCTCAGGAATCTTTCCCTGAATGCCACGATAATTGAGGGAGGCCTTGCAGTGACATCATCCAGCTCCCTCAGCACATGTGGGTGCCTCCCATCAGATTCCACAGATTTGTTGAATGGCCAATCTGTTTAAATGTTTCCTTACTCAAATCTCATCTGTCAAGATGAGTCCTCCTTGCTCTGGACTTTCCCAGTCAGGTGTGCAAGATTCCTAGAGGCAGATCTTACCTATAAAGACCAAGCAGAAGACAACTTAGTACCTCAACCTTTTCTATATCCTTTGTCACCATGTCCAGCAGGTACATTCAGCAGCCGGCCATATTTTCATTTGACCTCTTGTTGCTGCTGATGCACCTATAGACTTGTTTATGGAACATAGTCTTTCCAGTAGGTTTTGCCTCAGTCAGCTAGTGAGGCTCCAGGTTTATCTTTAGGTCTTGCATTTACAGCTTCCCAGGCATTCTTATCTTGTAATTGGCACTGCCCTAAATGATAACCATGTATGTCCAGCCTGTTTTGTTTATCATCAGAATTGGTGTAATTGACATCTCCCATGTTTTTGTGGAAGCTTCTGCACACTTAATAGCATGCCATTAAGCCATTTGCTTTACAAGGGAAGAGAGATAGACACATTTAAGTCAACAAAGTAATGAGACTTAGTCCTGATTCACTGGAGGAGTTCTTGAAATTCATTCTAGAACATGTTCCTTTCCAATATGTTTACTTCCTTTAGCATGCAAATTTGGATGTGAGTAAGTATTAGAAAAATCCTGGGGCATTTTGTGCCAAGAAGCTACTGCTTCTTTGTTGTATCTTACAATGTGCATATTACATTTGTATTGCATGAAGGTGACTAGGTAGGGATCAGCTTGAAGGCTAATATCTCTTTGTTGTTATTGTCTGCTTGGTTTCTATTAGAATGATTAGTAGTCAGTTATTTTTGGTTTTATTCCTTTTATAATGTTGGCAAATTGCATTCTATATCTATTTTTTCTATGCTGTCCATTTCAGGATTCAGTTCTAATGCAATTTTGTGCGAACAAACTAGACAAGAAGGACTTCTTTGGGAAATCTGATCCTTTCCTTGTATTTCATCGGAGCAATGAAGATGGCAGGTAGATAAATGTTAAGTATTTCTGCTGCTTAATAGAAGGGAACTCATTTATTACTGGTTATATAGTTTTCATTTGTAATTTTTTTGAATTTAAATTTATTATGTTATGTAATATTGAAATGTTTTATTTCAATATTGGTTTTTATTTCAATATTGTTGTAGCAAACAGATCAAATGCTGCAGTTAAGGACATTAAGATTTGAACATATGGTGGATGGAGCACTATGAAAATAAAAATAATGTATGACTTTTGCTAATATGTAGCATGCCTTAAAGTGAAACAGAATTCTCAAGAAAAAGTAGAATACGCTAATGCTCAAAAATTGTATTACATAAAAGTTCTTTATACTGAAAATTTGGAACTATCTGTTACCTTTTTGACAGAATTCTAGGAAATAGAAGAATTTGAAACGCCTTCACAACACATAATGTTTTTTAGAGGTAGATATTGGCTACATCCATACTTTAGTTTATTAAAGTCTCATCAGTTCTGCTGTTAAAATCTGACAGACTAACTTCTGGTCGACCTACTGCTTATGTGGGAGTCTGTTGGGGTATTAAGTTTTGTTGGAATCTGATCATCGTCACATACAGTGTTGTCTCAAACCAAAGGCCAGTCATGTACTATTTCACTTATTTCAACAGTTGCACTGGAAAAGTTCTATGTATGAGTATATACATGTCTGTCTGTTCCCTGTGTTTTTTCTCTCTGTGGCAAACTACAGGACCAGCTTTCTGAAAAAGTGCTGAATATCTTAAATCTTTGAGGAGATCTGGCCCCCTTGTGATATTAAGTTGAATTTCTCTGGGTGATGTTGGGAATGCTGGTGGGTCTCTTGGCCTCAAATACCCCTAGGAAGGACATGGGCTGCTTTCTCTGTTATTCTCTTGAGTCTGTCAGGAGGTTAGGGACAGCACTGCTTCTCCTGGAGCTGGTGTTCCCCTCTGTCCCATAGCTTCAGACAGGCCTGCATAGTTAATAGCTATGATAATAAACAGGCCTTTGGAGCTTAAGGAAGGTATTCTTTTTAAGAGAAACTTTAATTACATGTCTGTACTTTCAGTAATGATTTTGATGGTCCTTTTGCCTCGTATTTCCTTTTGAACACTTCCCTGGGTAAGGATTTAAAAGATTTATTTCTGCATCATTTAGACGATCATTTAGAGAAAGCAGAATACATAAAACAATTTGTTATATTTTATCTGAGAGAGGGTGAACATGGGATCTCATGGAGGCTTATAGGTTTTACCTGAGACACCCCTGGTTAAAATCATATAATCAGTCCTGGGTACAAGTTTCTTAATCATGAAGCAATCGTCACATCTTCACTTGACTGATTTCTTTCTAGATCAGTCAGTGATTACTGCTGTACAATGACAATGGCCTGTTGAAACAAGTGGGATGGAGCCTCTTGCCTGAAATACTACTCACTGAATGGTCGTATTCTTATGGAAGTTATTGGGGTTTTTTTTCTTTCTTTTTTTTTTTTTTTAGGGGTCTTAGAGTTGCTTAGCACCCTACTCTGTAAGTGATAAATTACTCTCAGATAGGTCTGTCCTCCTCAGTATTTATTGTCCCCCTTCTCCCCTGATTGCTTTTTGTGTCTTTTTTCTTAGATTTTATTTGTATGTTGTGACAGTGAATACAGATTTCAGCACTTTTTATTCCCTCTTTTGATTACAAAAAAAAAGCAGTGAATAAATACAAAATATACCTTTTCTATTACAGTTTTACGATCTGCCACAAAACAGAAGTTGTAAAAAATACATTAAATCCAGTGTGGCAGGCATTCAAGATCTCTGTCAGAGCCCTGTGTAATGGAGACTATGACCGGTAAGCTATAGACAAAGCTTTCTTAACATAGTAACATTTTTTTCCCCTAATTTACCTCTTCTTTTGTGTGAAACATTTTCTAACAAATTCAGTTATTAATGTAATTTAGGTTATTTAATCAGCATTTTGAAAGGAACAGAGAATTAAAGTTTCCTTTCTTAGATGATTTGGATATTTGAACACAAATTTGCAAGACAATTTGAAATTTAAATCTTATTGAGTTTTATGTAAGTCAACTCACTAATATGTCTTGTCTGTCTTAATAGCAACAGTCTCTGAAATCTGTAAGTAAAATGATGGATGTCCAGTCAAAATACTTTTTGTAATATTGCCTTTCTAAGTAAATTAAAGTTTCCTTTCAAGTGTCAAATATTTGTTTGGATAAATAAGTTTTGTAGCTATTTTTCATTTCCTTCCACAGCAGAGTAGCTTTTGCTTTATTCTGCGGAAATTCTAATATAACTCCACTCTAGACTATATTAAGAAGGATAAACTGTAATAAATGGTATTTTCAGCATCCTTAAATTTTAATTGAAGAAGAACAAATTCTGCCTATTTGTAACTATTGAGGAAAGGAGAGAGAAGAGAGAAAAAAAAAAGAAAAGGGGGGAGGGAAAAATTGAAACATATCTAGGCTTGAATATTTTGGTGATTTTGATTTCAGATGTTGATGAACCTTATCCCCAGAGAGTGCCTTTCTAATAAATAAAGTTGAACCTTGGATTCCTGTCACTTCCCAAAATACCATAGGACTTCATGTGGGACAATGTCCTGAAGGATAGGAATAAGCAAGTCTGTTTAAAAGACAGGAATCTTAGAGGCATTACTTTTCCTTCACAAATGCCTCACTGCATTTGATGCTGCTTAGTTTCATTATTATTGATGAATTTAAAGATTTAAACAGGTTTTTGTTTTAAAACCTGTGCATTTGCTTATCATCCTGAAAACAAGAATAATTATACCTGTCCTCAGAGGTTCATTTAACTCATAAGTAAACATCATTTTCCATTTGCAGCTTTTACATGTGTGTAATCTTACACCTGTTCAATAAGTGCATAAATGATGTAATGCAGAGGATATGAACTTGCATATTGGGTTATACTTTCAGCTAAACTGTTTCCGTATCCTAATTCACACAGTCACTATTGCAGACAGCACAGGGGTGCTCAGGAAACTGTGTGGAATCCTTATATACTTATCCATTTTCCTTAAAGAGAGGTTTCTCAGAAAACATGTCAATTAGTAATTATTTTATGCCATGAAAAAAGGGAGGGGGGTTGTATTTTGTTTGTTTATATTTGTAACCTTTGGAAATATCTTTTGTTGTATAAATGTCAAATTCTGTTTTGCACTACTCAGGACTTTTAGCCTTATCGTCTACTGAAAATGAGCCCAAAGTTTAATTATATGCTCTGTAATGAAGTTATTCATTTTAACAATTTCAATTTACCAGTTTTATTAACATTGAATAACTTTGTCTTCTAAGAAGTGTTAAACAGGAGCACTCAAAATTTTTCTTTGTCAAGTTCGAACATATTATTCCCTTCTCTTTTGCAAACTGCCATATAAAATAAGTCAGTTATAGTGGCTTCCACTTCTCTCCAAATGAAAATGCGTCTTTCTTTTTATTCTGACTTACTTGTTAACACTTTCATGAGGCTTTCATGACTTCTTAATATCATAATCATTATGGGAGTCCTTTTCCTTAGTATGGTTGAATGGGACTCTTCTTCCCTGTGGAAGATTGTGAAATGAATGTGACTGTGTTCTGTTGCTGTAGTGGTGACATGCTGCAGCTGTGACTGCATGGCAGCCATGGTGACTTCATGGAAGGGACAACTCATGTTGATGTAGGCTGCAGTGTGAGCAACTGAGGTCAATCAGGGAAACAAAGCCTAGCAAATTAATGAAGCAAGAATGCTGGAGGAGAAGAGAGCTCTAGTCCAGTTCAGTAAATGAAATAAAGTCTAATTAGCTCTTCCACCGAATGAGTGTTTGCATTGCTACTTGTACTAGTGTTAGCATTTTATAACCTAATTTGCCCTCCAGCAAATTAGGCTCCCTAAGAGGGGGTTGAACTTGCCTACAGCGTTTAGCACAATCTGTCAGTTCAGGGAAAACTATTTCCCAGAGTCTGCCCTTGCCCTTCCCTCTGCCCCTGCATCTGCCAGCCCTCTTCTAGATCTAGGAAGTCAGAGTCAGGGTTACTTACTATAATATGATGGTGAATGGAAGGATTAAATATCCATCCTCTCGACTTGATATGAAGTTAAAGGAATTGCTCTGCACTGCTCTCTTTGGTCAGATAGCCAAGCAACCTTTCCATCTTGCTTGTGGAGTAAGAGGAGGATGGAGTTTAAAGACTGGAAAAGTGCAGTGTTTAAAGAACCACAGATGAAGCCTTCACAAAATCATGTGTGGGTCACACGCCGTTTTCAGTACTGTAGAATGGTTACTAGAGGTCAATGCTAAGTTGTCTACCACATTCAAGCCTTATTCTAGACAAGAGTAGTTTTTTTTTTAAATTCAGGAACTAAAGCGTATGGAGTAGGCTTCCTTACTGCTTTAGGTGTACATTATTTTGTATTGTGAACATTATTTTTAATGTGTGTTGTGCTGTTTACTAATTTTATTCTCTGAAAATTCTGTACTTCTCAAATAGCCAATAGGTTTTCTTTTTCAGATACTACCATATTCCAAAGAAGCTTTCAGGAAAACAGTTTTGTTACTGTTCATAAAAACTTCAATAATTCTTTAAAGTTTAGGATATCTCTTACAGAAAAATACAGCAAATTCAAATGCAGCAAGCAAAACTATGTTGGTTAATCTTCTAATGAGTTTGTTTCCTCAGTTTCTGCTGTAATATAATTAAAGTGTATTCGGGGATTAGAGTCACTTGCAGTTTTCTGTGCCATGAGATAAGACTGGGAGTTTCTTCATTTTGGATGTAGCATAGATAATTACAGGCAGATGCTTTTAAAATGTAAGTATTAAAGTCAATTCAAATACATTTTGACAGTATTTTTTTTTACTGTTTCAGGACAATTAAAGTAGAAGTATATGACTGGGATAGAGATGGAAGGTAAGATATTATTTCCATTATTAATGCTTAGGGTTAGGCATGCACATACATTTAAAAATATATAAACATACAATAGCCAGAATAGGACTAGAAAATAGAGTTCTGCTGTGCTATAGCTCTCTTGTGCTGATATGTCCCCATGTGCAAACATTTCAAATGCCATGTGTGTAACTTTATACATGGAACAAGCAAGACTGAACATTTTAGGATCTATAAAACCAGTTTTGTGAATCTCATTGAATATCACCTATCACTTATTTTAGGTGTATAAAAAAAGGAATAGTCCTTCATCTGACAGCCTCCTCCTTTCTTAATCTGATGTATTGGTTGGTTGAATATTGCCCTTTTTTTTAAGGATGATAAAATGCCTGATCCTGCAATAGCTTTTACATGTGCTCCTTCACAGTTGCCTCATGGAAACTACATATTACCATAATTTGAAACCAGGTTTAAATGTTCATTTCCTTGCCTGCCCTCTTTGAAAGACGTTTTTAAACTCTGGAGTTGGAAGACACAAGTTTGAAATAACTGCATCAATAAGAAGTGAATGATAGAAAACAGTATATAATATAGCAATAGCAATATAATATAATATAGCATATAATATAATATAGTATATAATATAGCAATAGCAATATAATATAGCAATCTGCTATGTTTCATGCTCTCTTTCTGTACTGAGTCTACCTCTCTATCTGAGGAAATCAACTTTTCAATTTATCTTACTTTGTCAAATAAGACAGGATTTTTGATCAGATAGGATTGATATTTTTTGTTCCTCTGAAAGTATTTGAGCTTCTAAGCCAATATTTTTATTAGAAACTATGCTCATAAATCCTGGCACTAGTATTTGTAATTCATGGATGTGTGGATTTTTGTATGTCTTTAAGATGGTCTGTCTTGCATTTGAATTTTTAAGAATATATTATTTATTATATAATATCTTTAATACAGGTAATGGACATTTTTCTAGTGTTAAAACTAATTATATTGTGCTGGTGTGGCCCAATCCAAGGGCAAAAAATAGTTTCAGTGCACTTAGTTTGTGCTTTTTTATTTTCAATTCCACAGTGAAGCCTGTTGATTTATAAGCATTCTTATCGTGTTTACATCACATAACGTAAATGTCTCCTGCTAGTGCAAATTCATCGTTCTTGATTAGATATTCCCTGGAGTGACAAAATAACATATTCTAGCAATTAAAAATATGAAGATTTAAACTAACAAAGCTGTATTAGCAAAATGTCTGTGTATCACTGTAAAGATTAATCTCTATTAACATTCTTTTATCCTCACTTAGATTTGCGAAATCCTCAAAAATGTGTTGTATTTACATTTCTGCATATAAGTTATAATATATTTTGAAAATACCCTGGGGATGAATAATCCAACAATATTTCCAAAATAATAAAAGCTAAAGACTGTAGTGTATTACTGTGTCAAACTCCATTCGCTGCCCTATTTACTCCAGAATCTGAAACTAAAGTATGATTAGAAAGAAAACTTAAAGAAATCTGACAAATAATAGTGTATAGCTGAAACTGTGATTGAAATCTTCAACATACTATGGAGTTCAGGCAATCATTAGCTTCAAGACTGTCCAAAATAGTTTTAAATAGTTAAACTTTTGCTTGCATCTGAATCTGAATACCTAGCAAAAAAAGTAAAAATATGTTATTTACATGTTTTCATTTTATTTGTTATTCTAGTTATATAATGCTTGTAGCCACTTTCTATCAGTTTTTGAATTTAAAAGCAAATTTAAATTTGAATTTAAAAGCAAAATTTAAAAATCGGTCAACAAGACTAAACTGGTCATTTAGGTTGCTTCAGGAGCTATTGGGGAAAAGTAGTCTTCAGGATTCTGTTGGAATCCACTCTAACTGGAATAAATGCCATTTGGTGGTTCCTGTGACTTGCTAATGATCAAGTAAAACCTACATGACTAATTTGATGTGGACATTGCCAAATGTATCTGAGATGAATCCTGTTAAGATGCCTGTAATAGTCCATCAGTTTCTCATATAGTGCTTCTGTTACACAGTTTACAGTAATTTCCCCTTTGATGGACCCTTTGTTTACAAAGATGGATGATCACCTCACTGAATCATTCATCTCCAGTGTAGTCTGGGTGGAGACAACCTTTAAAAGATCTTCAAAGAACATGCTAGAGAGCAAAGTCAAGTTACACTAAATATTCAGCTTTTTCAGTAATATAACATTCCTTTGCAGGTACTTGATTCCTGCATCAGTATTATTTTATTCAACTGGAATGTTTTTTTTTTGTTCTGTTCTGATTTTTTCCATCCTGTTACATGTGCTTTGGGAAACTGCTCCAACGTAAATTGGATTGATATTCTTACTGTGATTTTTTTTTTCTTAATTTATATTGTGAAGAGAAATTGTATATTCTTAACTTTTGTTTATTTTTAAACACCACTTAATTTCTTGATTTAATATTTACCACTAAAGATTTTTAACATTATCATTTTAAAATATTTAACACTTGTCTCAAACAAGTTTCCATGCTAAAATCACCAAAATGTGAAACACTTGTTCTAATTTATATCTTTAATGGCTTCCAAGACCTGTGATAATTCCCAGAAATGTTTGGTGGTGTAAGAAGTCAAAAAAGTTCCATTTTTAACTTTAAACAAACCCACCTGTGTGAAACAAAACCACTTTCTATTTTTGCATGATCTCCTGGTCAGTAGTCAGATGTTACATAACAGAGGAAAAATAGTAAGATATGCAGTTTCCTTCTGAAGAGTTGCACACTTTGTTTACAAAAGTTGCTGCTTTGTGCGCATATATATATATATATTTTGATTTTGTACATCCTGAACAGAAATATAAGCTTGATTTCAGTGCTGAATTTTGACTTCATTCATCTCTGTGAAACCCTCTGGAAAATTCAGACATTACTGTTATGCGTGACATAAAAGTTTGAATGACAAAGTAGTCTATTGGGTGTAGAATGGGCCTAAGAATTGAGAAAACAGTGTCTTTAAGGAATTCTTTAACGCACTTACATTTGACCTTGAACAAATTGTCTGAGTGGGAGCAACAGAGCTATCACACTCATCATGCTATTTAATTCTATTAAGTGATGTACCAGTGCAGATGCACGTTGCTTGAGATATCTTGAAAGAGTGGTTTTATTAACCAGTTGTATTGGAGCAGCTTGCTCTAGATTTGTAAAAGAGAACTGAAATTTGAGGCAAGTTGTTCTTGTAAAGTCCCTACAGAACGCATCTTTCCTTTTTCCAAATTATGAGCTGCGTGAATGTTAAAAGAAAGTCGTCGGCAGTACAACTGTGTTTTTATTTCTCTCTCTTTTTTTTCCTTTTCAATTTCATTAATGTTAAACTACGGAGTGGAGTTGTAAATGGGAATTTGTTACTTAGCATGTACAAAAGATACCGCACAATTTTGGTGTTTATGCCCTATCACGTAGCATAAAGTTTGTGTTTTTTTTTCTTAATTTTAAAGGTACAAATAATGTAATGATAACACAGAGCCATTAAAGCATTCATATGAATAAACCAAGAAGGAAACTTCACATTGCAAAAAGTAGCTTCCATATTTTCCTCTTCTTACAACAGTTATATTTAAATTAACTGTTAATATTTATAGCTTCATTAGAAATGTGTTGCATTTCTTAAAAACAATTTTT